TACTCCGGAACCATTTTTTGCCTAGTCTATCACTTCCTTACTGATTTTAAGTAGCTTCCTTTTAGTATGAATGTCTCTTCGTAGGTGTATATATGGCATGCACACACACACACACACACACACACACACACACACACACACACTTTTAAAGTATACTATTACATTGTCCTGTTTATTACTTTTCCATTACTTAGTACTACCATCTACCATGTTAAACTTTTTTTAAAAAATGTATGATATATATATATATATATTACTATTTTATTGAAGTTCTTCCTTAAAAATGCTAATTTTTAATGTAAGGTTTTCACATCTAGCTGTAAGAAGTCCATGGATTTTTAGTCACATTTTAAGAGTCTTATATTTTTTCAGTTTTCCTACCTACTCCTATACAGCTAGAATGACTGGAGTGGCTCCTACCTATTCCTATGCGGCTAGAATGGTGAGTGGCTGGCTTTGTTGAGATGGGTCTTGTTAACTGTTGGATCAGACCGGCCTTGGGGCAGGTTTCTCCAGCGGGGTCTATAGGCTCCTTTAACATTTGTGACTGCACTGCTCAGCACTGTCACAGCAGGAACAATGTTGTTCACTAGCTCTCCAGAACGTAGTCATCTTCCCTAACTGAAACCTGATGCCCAGGGATTGGTCACTCCTCGTTTTTCACTGGCCTTCAATCACTGTAATTCCGTAACTCCGTGGCTTTCCGTATAAGGGGAATCACTTGGTATTTAATTTGTTGTGGCTGGCATTTTACATAGCATGATGTCTTCAAGCTTTCTCCTTGCTCTTTGTCTACTGCAAAGTTTCCAACTTTTTAAAAGCGATTATTCAGTTATGTGGAGTTGCCATCTATCCTACATTCACTTACTTGTTCAAGGACATTTAGGAGTTTTCTATATTTTCTTTGTCATGAACAATTCTAAAGTAGCCCAGGAATGCTAGCATTGCTTGAGGCTTGTTTCTTTATATAATGTCTCAAAGTGGCATTTGTAGATTTTGTGGGAGAACTGTAGTTATTTTTACATTTTTGGGGCAATATCAATCATGTTTTTCATTTGGCATTTCAAGCAACAGCACGTAATAGAATTGCTCCACATCCTCACCAACACTTTCCCTTACATAGTCATATAGTCACATATAGCCATCCAGAGAACCGTGAGCTTTCATTTGGAGTTTAATTTACATTTCCCTGATGATGGCTGTTTGCCACTTTATATCTTCTCTGGAGAAATGTCTATACAGGTCTTTTAACTATGTATAATTTTATGCCTGCACCATACTATTTGGGTTTCTGTAGCTTGGCAATGTATTTTAAAATTGAGAAGAATAATGTTTGTCATTTGTTATTTTGGGGTAATCTGTAAATTATAGAGTTATTTCTACTATTCTTAAAAAAATATTACTGGAGGTCAGGTCCTGGTGGCTCACACCTGTAATCCAAGTTACTCAGGAGGCTGAGATCTAAGGATCTTGGTTCAAAGCCACCTCAGGCAGGAAAATCCATGAGACATTTATCTCCGACTCACTACCAAAAAAAAAAAAAAAGCCAGAAATTGAGGTGTGGCTCAAGTGGTAGCATGCTAACTTTGAGCGTGCGCGCGCGTGGGCGCACACACACATACACACACACACACACACACAAGAAACAACAACAACAACAAAAAATAACAGGGACACTGACTAGTCCCTGAGTCCCTAGTCCCAGGACCCACACACACACAGAACTATGCATCATTGGAATTTCAAAAGGAATAACAATAATAGGGGAACATTTTGGATTGTGGAGATATTTTTCACAATATTAACTTTTCCAATCTGAGATTTCTTTCCATTTATCATTTAATGGAAAGAATTGTCATTCCATTTCTATCATCAGCTTCCCAACCAAAATAAAATTTTATTGAAAATTTTATTAGAAAAAGAAGCAAATTTAAGGTAACAGACAACAGAAGTTTGAAACACAAAGGAACACTGAAAGTTTTGAAAGAAACAAAATAGTGCTAAAAGAAACAAAATAGAAGGGCTGGGAAGGTGGCTCAGTGGTAGAGCACTTGCCTTGCATGCATGAGGCCCTGGGTTCGATTCCTCAGCACCACATAAGAAAAGTGAAAAAAAAAAGCCAGAAGTGGCTCAAGTGGTAGAGCGCTAGCCTTGAGCTGAAGAGCTGAGGGACAGCGAGCCCAGAGTTCAGGCCCCACGACTGGACCCAAAAAAACAAAAAACAAAACAAAAAAACAAACAAACAAAAAAAGAAACAAAATAGATCCTGAATTCTGGTGGCTCACGTCCGTTATCCTAGCTACTCAGGAGGCTGAGATCTGAGGATGGAGGTTCAAAGCCAAAGTCCATGAGATTCTTATCTCCGATAATCAAAAAACCAAAAGTAGTAGAGCTTACCACAAGAGGTAGAGCTACATCCTTATGGGAAAAAGTTAAGGGACAGTGCCTAGGTCCTGAATGCAAGCCCCGATAACCAGCACACACTCCAAAGGAACAAACTGGAGTTATGTGTGTATGTGGGTGTTTCTGTGTGTACAGTGGTCTCCTTGATCCATGCGGGACATATTCCAAGACTCCCAGTAGATGTCCAAGGCTACAGACAGTACTGAACTCTAGCCTATACTTTCCTACACAAAGTTTCCTATGTAAAATTTCAGTTTATGATTTACATAAAGTAAGACAATGATAGAACAATTGTAAAACATATTACAATGAAACTGCCAGCATCAATGCTCTTGGGCTTTGGGCCATTTGTAAAGAACGCAAGGTTTTAATGAGTTCCAAGCAATCTATCTGGTAACTGGGACAGCTGCTAAGTGCTAGCTGGGTGTGTTAGACAGAGGGGACCTTCATCTCACTGGGTTCAACGCTGGACATTTTTTCCTATCTCTACTTATTTCCTAACCTCTTCAGTGCTTCATTTCCTAAATTTTTTTGTAGTCATTTTCTATTAGCTCTGTAAAGATTGTGTCCTTAAAAATGTGCTTTCTCCTGATTAAATAGCCCTAGGCCCAAAATGTACACAGCTTCTTTTTTAAAAAAAAATATTTATGCACATGGTATCTGCTTAAGACAAGCTCTAGGCGTTGGAGTGTATCTTTAGCCTTAGAACACTGCCTAATACCCACAAGGCCTAGTTTAGAAACTAGTACCACCCACCCACCCACAAAACACACACATAAATACCTGGGCCTGTTATACTCTCCCAAATTAAATGTGCTATTAACTTACAAGTGTATGAACTTGATGGACACGCATGTTATTCATATACTAAAGAGAAGAGATGGTAAATAACAGAAAGTGTCCTTCCCTGTAAGATCCAGGCCCAAAGCCCTGGTAATTAGTGAAAGAGTATAAAATATCTGAAGAACTTCAGGGCTATCCAAGCGCTGAGTCCTGAACTGCCATGCTAGCAACTTGGTAGACGCTTCCATTTGGATACGCTGTGGAGAGGGTGTCTTCTGGCGTGTGGAGAAGACAACTTGGGACCTGGGTTAAGAAGTGATGCCTCTTTAGCCGTCTAGTCACAACCCCGTCACCAGGCCTGTGTGGCACAGAGAAAAATGTCACTGTGGCCCATTTAGTATCTAATAGGCTTGGCTGAACCATTTCGCAGGAAGTGACCTCCTCTTGGATCTCACAGGGAACAGGGGACAGGAAGTGACCTCCTCCTGGATCTCACAGGGAATGGGGACAGGAAGTGACCTCCTGGATCTCACAGGGAATGGGGACAGGGCGTGACCTCCCGGATCTCACAGGGAACAGGGGACAGGACATGACCTCCCGGATCTCACAGGGAACAGGGGACAGGAAGTGACCTCCCGGATCTCACAGGGAACAGGGGACAGGAAGTGACCTCCTGGATCTCACAGGGAATGGGGACAGGAAGTGACCTCCTCCTGGATCTCACAGGGAACAGGGGACAGGAAGTGACCTCCTCCTCCTGGATCTCACAGGGAATGGGGACAGGGCGTGACCTCCCGGATCTCACAGGGAACAGGGGACAGGAAGTGACCTCCTGGATCTCACAGGGAAGGGGGCAGGAAGTGACCTCCTGGATCTCACAGGGAACAGGGGACAGGAAGTGACCTCCTGGATCTCACAGGGGGCAGGAAGTGACCTCCTCCTGGATCTCACAGGGAACAGGGGACAGGAAGTGACCTCCTGGATCTCACAGGGGGCAGGAAGTGACCTCCTCCTGGATCTCACAGGGAACAGGGGACAGGACGTGACCTCCTGGATCTTACAGGGAATGGGGACAGGACGTGACCTCCTGGATCTCACAGGGAACAGGGGACAGGACGTGACCTCCTGGATCTTACAGGGAACAGGGGACAAGAAGTGACCTCCTGGATCTCACAGGGAATGGGGACAGGAAGTGACCTCCTCCTGGATGTCACAGGGAACAGGGACAGGGCGTGACCTCCCGGATCTCACAGGGAATGGGGACAGGAAGTGACTCCTCCTGGATGTCACAGGGAACAGGGACAGGGCGTGACCTCCCGGATCTCACAGGGAATGGGGACAGGATGTGACCTCCTCCTGGATCTCACAGGGAATGGGGACAGGGCGTGACCTCCCGGATCTCACAGGGAATGGGGACAGGATGTGACCTCCTCCTGGATCTCACAGGGAAGGGGGGCAGGAAGTGACCTCCTGGATCTCACAGGGAAGGGGGTGGGAGGTGGGGGAGGCAGGTACAGGGGAATCGGCCCCGGGGGCGGCCCGGGCGCGACCGTCCAGTTACAAAGCACACCGCAGGCCTTGTGGAGCATTGCTTCTGCTGCATTTTCTTTATTGCAGGTCGCAGGGGGTCTGGGGAGCGACGCCGTGCGACCCGTGGGAGGTCAGTCGTGCTGGTCCGAGGGGCCTGGTCACGGCTCCGAGAACCCCTGGGCTCGGGGACCGCGCACCCCCCTCCCCTCCCAGCTCCCGTCTGGGGGGGGGCGGCGCGGGGCGGGGTGGGGGGGGGTCGTGGTCAGGGCCTCTCCGCCGGCGCGTTACGGGAAGTCGGTCATGTACCTGGCCCCGATCAGCATCACCATGCTGGTCACGATGAAGAAGCCCAGGGGCAGGCTGCAGAAGACGCTGGAGTCCCCCTCGCCCGCGGCCTGGGTGGTGACCCAGCCGATGGACTTCATGACCGCCTTCTTCCACGTGGCGTAGCGGCAGCGGCTCTCCTCGGCGTTGATCTGCGGCTCGAAGCGCTCGGTGGGCACGCCGTCCGCGTCGCGGTCCTCCAGCCGCCACACGCCGACGCCCTCGGCCGCGCCCGCCGCCATGGCGGCGCCCAGGGCCGTGGTCTCGGGCATGCAGGGCCGCACCACGGGGATGCACAGGATGTCGGCCTGCAGCTGCATCAGCACCTTGTTGCTCGTCATGCCGCCGTCCACCTGCAGGTGGCTGAGCGGGATGCCGCAGTCGCGGTTCATGGCGTCCAGGATCTCGCGCGTCTGGAAGCACACGGCCTCCAGCGCGGCGAAGGCCAGGTGGCACTTATTGGTGAACTGGGTGAGGCCGCAGATGATGCCGCGGGCGCTCGGGTCCCAGTAGGGCGCGTACAGGCCCGAGAAGGCCGGCACGAAGTAGCAGTCGTACGAGGTGCCCGCGTCCCGGGCCAGCTTCTCGATGTCGCCCACCTCCTTGATGATGCCCAGGTTGTCCCGCAGCCAGCTGACCACGGCGCCCGCGATGGCCACCGAGCCCTCCAGCGCGTAGTTGGCCGGCTGGTCGCGGCCCAGCTTGTAGGCCACGGTGGTGAGCAGGCCGTGCTCCGACGCCACGCACTTGCGGCCCGTGTTGCACAGCAGGAAGCAGCCCGTGCCGTACGTGTTCTTGGCCTGGCCGTCCCGGAAGCACATCTGGCCCACCAGCGCCGCCGACTGGTCGCCCAGGCAGCCCGACAGCGGCACGCCCTCCAGCGGCCCGGTCTTCACCAGGCCGTAGATCTCCGAGGAGCTGCGCACGTGCGGCAGGATGTCCATGGGGATGCCGAAGAAGTCACAGAGCTCGGGGTCCCACTGCAGCGAGTGGATGTTGAAGATCATGGTGCGGCTGGCGTTGGTCACGTCGGTGCAGTGCACGCCGCCGCGCACGCCGCCCGTCAGGCTCCAGATGAGCCACGAGTCCACCGTGCCGAACAGCGCCCGCTTCTCCTCCACCGCCTTCTGCACGCGCAGCGCGTTGTCCAGCAGCCAGCGCAGCTTCACCGCGCTGAAGTAGGTGCTGAGCGGCAGCCCCGTCTTGGCCTTGACGAAGTTGTTGTTGGCCGGGATCTCCTTGCTCAGCGCCTCCACCGTGGACTGCGTGCGCAGATCCAGCCACACCAGCGCGTTGGACAGCGGCTCGCCCGTCACCTTGTCCCACACCACCGTCGTCTCCCGCTGGTTGGTCACGCCCAGCGCCTTGATGCGCGACACGTCCACGTTGAGCTGGCCCAGCTTCTCGCACGTCTTCTCGATGCACTCGCACACCGACCGCAGGATCTCCTCGGGGTCCTGCTCCACCCATCCCTCCTTGGGGTACTGCAGCTTGACCTCCACCTGATGGTGGCTGATGACCTCGGCCGTCTTGGAATTGAACACCAGGAAACGGGTGGAGCTGGTGCCCTGGTCCACCGCCCCCACCAACGGCTCCACCACCGAGTTGGCGGCTGCCATCGATCCGGCTTCAAGGGCCCCCGGCGGGTGAGCTCTGCCGTTGCCCCGGGTGACCCCGCGTGCGTGCGCCCGTGCGCGCCTGCGCACGTGGCCGGTGGGGGTGGGGGTGGGGGTGGGTGGGAAGGAGGCCCGGGCCCCGCACCTCCGCCTGCAGGTGCGCGCGTGTACACACACACCTTACACTTCTTCCGGCCATGAGCAAACTGACTAGAACCTTCTCCCAGCCCGCCCTCCCTCCGGCTCTCTCTCTCCACTCACTACCTGGACTTCTGCTTCCTAGCTTGCCTCTACTATTGAAATTCACGTCCAGACTCTGCCAGCTCTGTGTCTACACCCCGGGCTCGACTTCACGCTCACCACCTCTGGTTTACCCACATCAACCTGGCCCCATGCCACCACTGTCTCCTGAGCCATCCAGGACCGTCCCCAGGCTGCAGCCGCCCCTTACAGTTCTCCTGGCTACAGCTAGCCCTTGCATTTCTCCTGGCTACAGCTAGCCCTTGCATTTCTCCTGGCTACAGCTAGCCCTTGCATTTCTCCTGGCTACAGCTAGCCCTTGCCTTTCTCCTGGCTACAGCTAGCCCTTGCATTTCTCTTTCTTTTGACAAGCCTATACTCAAACAGGAGGTAGGAAGCTTTCCTTTAAAATGAAAATAGGACCATGGCCCCGCCCAGCTGTAAATCCTTCAGTTGCTTCCCGTCTCCACATCTGCACATCAAAGGGTTCTAACCAATCATGTTTCTGGTCACACCCATTTCATTGCTTCCTTCTAGAAGCTCACTCCTTTTTAGATACCTTGGTCATCTTGTGGTTCCTGGCCACTGAGTCCTGGTCTTCCTTAGGTATCTGCCTTTGCTGGTCTTGCGTTTTTCAGCTTCTTCTCCCCAAACCCAGTGTCTTCTCTCTTCCTTAAATGTTGAGCTTAACCATCTCCTGTCAAGAAACTCACTGCCCATCCAGTCTGACTTGAACTCTCGACATTTCCACCACTGTGACTCCTTATCCAGCTTTGTTTTTCTTCAAAGAAAAGAATACTTATTTTTATTTTATCCTTCCATCCCTCCAATGCGAGCTCTCGAGAGTTTCTGGACCCAGTGTGTTTTCCTTGCCGATGTAGCTCAGTGTCTGCAGCCTGATGGGTGTGCAACCCAAACACTTGTTTTCTGCAAGTTTAAGACCAGAATTATTTATTTTCAAAAAAGAAAGATGTGGTGTGCTGTCATTCTAAATATTTGATCTCCTACCCGGTGGTGGGGTTGTGCATGTTTGCCTGCAGAATTCAGGCCCAGCTGTGAGACCCTCTTTGGGCAGAGGCTTTCAGAGCCTGTGTGTGGTTCACCATGTCTTTTCTGCCCCTCCGCCACAGTAACCCGGAGTGTTCAACACAGAGGCTGTTCTGTCAGCCTGGGCCCCAGAGAAAATGCCGTGGCGCCAGGCCATCAAGTGTGTGGTAAATAAACATGGCTGTATCAAGCCATTGAGATTTGGGGACTGTTTCCATAGTTATAACCTAATTTATCCTGACTAGTATAGACAGCTAGGCCACCAGAGCCAAGAGAGGGCCTGGGAGAACCTAACACATTGGACATGTTACATAGATTCGCCGCATTGCTTCTTCCTAACAATCTAATGCTTTGTTTGCTGCCCCAACCTTTTATTTGAAAAGGAAGAATTTTTTAAACAGTGCGCTGGGATATTTATTTTAGCATGATCAGAGGTCATAATCTTATAGCCTTGTGTTTTCATTAAAAAAAGCATTATGAGGAAAAACAGCTCAAGCCTCATGGATGTTCAAACACGCTTATCAAAGATACCTTTAAATCAAATAAGAGACTATGTTGAGTCTCAGACTGAACAGGAAAGCATCTCTATAATGATGGCTTTCAAGTTTGTATCTTTTGAGCCAGTGATCTTCTTAAATAGCTAGGACTACAGGTGTGTGCCACCAGCACCTGGCAAGTTTGTATTATTTTTAAAATTCCTCAACAACTCTCACATACTTAGTCCAAAATCGCGTTTAGACCACCAAAAGCTGCACCCCTGCCCCACTAAAGCTACACCCACTAACTGAAACCACACCGACCAAAGCCAGAACTTCAGTGCATCAAACCCTTCAAAGCATCAAATTTGCATACTGTAAGATAATTCTCTAAAGATGTCATTGAGTGGAAAGTGCTTACTCTATAGAAAATTCTTAAGGCCAAAGGACCTAGATCCAGTCTTGTGGAAACAGATAAGGGTAGAGTTTCATCATAATGTAATACAGTTGATCTCTGTGTGGAAGGCATTGAGGTTTGGGCCCAGCAGGAGAGTTTCCTTCAGGAATACAATATGGGGCAGTTGTTTACGTTATTTTACAAGAGGTAATTCAGATAAAATAGTAGCAGTCACCAGGAATCCCACAGGAAACATTAGGATTTTGTTGTTGGGTGCCAGAAACATCCAGGGTTGGATGTGAAACTGAACACCATGTGGACATTTCAAAATCCCAAAACACAATTGATAAAGGTTCCCTCTTTACACAAAAGACTTTTTAACCCCTTCTGTGCCATGTCCAGGGCTCACTCCCTCAGTGGGGTAGAGAAACGGAAGAAAAAGATTGCACAGCCTTTTGCATCCTTTATTTGACCTTGATGGCAGGGTGGAAGGTCTCATGAAGTTAATGTGTTGAAGGAGAAAACGGTTAAAGAGTCAGAACAAATGGTGCTCTGAAAGGAAATACGCAATCTTATAGCTATTGGTCTTTATTTCTAAAACGTATTTATATTTCAGAGCAGGTGCCCAGAATGAGTAAAGTAGTGAGGGTCACTGAGCCAGAAGCAATAGCTGCAAGCAATGTGGTTGGTGGATAACAAGGATGGAGTCTGTGAGCCTTGGCAGGAAACCTCAGCCTCATCCAGAGAGAAGACATATGACATCCAAGGAGAAGCAGAGAGAAACATCTGCATGTGACAGCCGCAGAGACCCAGCCTACTGCATCTTCACAGCTCCACTTCTTGGGCCTCATTTTTTAGTGATGTGAATACAAATGAGGTTTTCCTTTACCATGAAGTAGCTAATTACTAGGTAAGTTATTTTAAGTCCTAGTGTTACTACAAAGAGAAATAAATTCCTTCCTGGCACCACTTTAAAGGAAGAATTTCAGTGGGATTAGGTTCCTTTAATCTAGAGGAAAATAATAATATCTATTGAAAAAAATCTTTGTCACATTCTTCCCTTTCTCATCCTTCTTTTATCACTTAAAAATAGCCTTTCATTGAGGCTGGGACCAGGTTATTCATGCCTAGAATCTGCTACTTGAGAGACAGTTATAAAGATTTTATTCCCAGCTGGTACCAGGACCAAAGAAGGAGATCCTATTAAAATAGAAAAACTAAACCAAAGTTAAAGAGATTGGAGCAAGAATCAAGTGGCAGAGTAGTTGCGTTCAAACCCCAGTATCACCAAAATGAAACAAACAGCTCTTGTTACTCAGATTTTCTGAATAATCCTTGCTAACAAGCCAAAGTACCAATTTTGATAAAGTGAATAATTTACAAGAATCCCACCATCACTGAATTATTTAGAAATATGTGTTGCTTTATGCGTCTATATGGTGGGGGGTGGGGAGAAAGAGGAAGAGGGAGAATGAGAAGGAAAGAAGAGAATGTGAGAGAGTGAAATAGTGTGGGGGGGAGGGAGGGAGGGAGGGGAGGAGAGATGAAAGAGGAGGAAGAGGAGAAGGGAGGGGAGGGGAAGCAACTATTCTCCATAGCTCTGGAGCGCTGGCTGATTTCATGAACTTTGTAATTATTCTGCTTAAAACGCACCTGTGAATTCAAGGAAGGTGAAGTGTTTAGAAAGTTTCCTGTTTCCGCACTTCTGAAATTCTCAATTTAAAATGCTTGTAGCTAAATGCTAGTTCACGATTTTTTTAAATCTGCCATTGTTCTCACAGTCCGGTGTTTAAATTAAGAGCAGATGCTGATCCCTACAGACCGACAGCCCACATCGTCACTGGGGAAGGTGAGAAAATTCTGGTAGCTCTGCAAGTGGCTTTGCGGCGTTGTGCACTAGAGTGTGCCTGACTGTGCCTCACACTCCCGCCAGCTCCCAAATCTTAGGTAATACCCAGCAAACTTCTCTTCAGAGACTGTCAGCCAAACAAAGTTTTCTTTCTCTAAAGAGAGCTCCAGAAAGCCTTCCCCAAATCCACTTTAGTCAGTGGAGTAACTCATACAAAGAACACGTATTTTAGTTCTTGTTTCTTGTCTACCTGCTAGAGATCCGAGCCAAGAGAGAGTAGCGGGGGACGCTTTGAAATAGTCTTATTTGCAAATCTCTACTACTTCTGATTTATGAGAATAAAAAAGTATCCCTCATTTTATCCTTTCATATCATGACTCCATAACAATATGTTATTTATGTCAGAGAATTTGTTTCTTTCATAGCACTCCTGATTCATTAATTGTGTATTTGCTGGCATTGGGACTTGGAATCAGGGCCTGGCTCTGCTCCTTAGATTTTTCACTCAGGACTGGCCCTCTACCGCTTGAGCCACAGCTCCACTTGGCTTTTTTGTGGTTAATTGAAGGTAAGAGTCTCACAGGCATTCTTGCCAGAGTTGGCTTTGAACCTCGATTCTCAGATTCGTAGCTAGGATCTCAGGGGTGAGCGGCCTGTGCCCAGCTTCATTAAGTATATCTTATGTAATATTTTAAAATATTGTCCTTCCTGTTAGTGGGCAAGTTCCTTGAAGGCCTGTCTTGCTTGTATCTGTGAAGAGTATTTTTTTTTAATTGTGAAAATACCGTACAGAGAGGTTACAATTACATGGGCAAGGTAATGAGTACATTTCTTATCAAGCATTGTTGCCTCCTCTTTTGTTTCCCCTTCCCTGGCCTGTGAAGAGTATTTTTGTTTGTTTGTTTTTTGGGTCCGGTCGTGGGGCCTGAACTCTGGGCCTGGGCGCTGTCCCTCAGCTCTTCAGCTCAAAGGCTAGCGCTCTACCACTTGAGCC